AAATATATTTATATGTGAGGATGGGGAAATAGATCTATGTACATATATTTATAGGTTTAGTATTAAGGTAGCAGATGGACATTGGGCCTCCACTCAAGTACTCCCTCAATGCAAGAATACTTTGCTCTACTATTGGCATTCCATGATGCTCACCTTCCCAACACGATTGCTGAAGACAAATCGGGTGCATGAGCAAATGTGGTGAAAATGTTGATAGAATCCGGATATCAAGATATAGCATCTAGGGCCTTAACGAGTTGAAGGTAAACAAGTGGCCATCTAGCTGAGAAGCAACAAAGCCCACATGGAAGAAGCCCATCAGCCTGTGTTATCACCAGGTGCTGAAGGAATCAGTTATCAGCATTGTATTAGACAGGTTTCTCTAGAGAGATAAAACCAGATTGCTGATAATTATATATATATATATATATCAAAACAGTTAGATATATAACACAAGAAATGAACTGTTAAATTATACACAGATAGATATATAAGAAATTTACAGTTAAATTATAAAGCAGTATATGGCTCAGTGTAACTCACTCCCATGAGAGAGTTGTGAGACACTAGCAATCCTTCAAGTCTTGAGGGCTGCTAGGTAGTCCTCTGTAGAGAGAGCTAGGCTATCTCAGCACAGGCAGCAAACAGCAAGGCAGGTCACCAACTGTCAACCAGGTCACCAACCATCAGTCCCCAGCTCCAGAGATGTACATTCTAATCATGTGGTCTTAAAGGGACCTCAACTTACAGCAACATAGTCTACAGGCTAGGTGTCCCACAGGTAGTGTAGCCTCTAAATTGAGGCACAGAACAAGCAAGGCAGCCGCACACTGGTCTGATGATCAAAGAGCGAGAGACAAAAAAGGCGAGGCTCACCGAGCCATTAATCTCTCCGCCCTTCAATTAGTCCCACTTGTGTTTATTGGCCAGGCTGGCACAATAAACTATCTCAGGCATCAAAGAACAAAAAATCATATCATTGTGCACTCTCTTTCCCGATATGATCACTGAAGACAAATGTGTGCATAAGCAAATGTGGTGAAGAAAGCTGATGATGCCCGGTTATCAAAAGATATAGCTTCTGCGGTCTTAAAGGGTTGAAGGTAAACAAGGGCCATCTAGCTCAGAAGCAACAAAGTCCACATGGGAGAAGCACACCAGCCTGTGTGATCACGAGTTGTCGAAGGGATGAGGTATCACGCATCAAAGAATAAAAAATCATATCATTGTGAATGAGAGGGAATGTAGAGTG